TAGAATTAGAATTACCCAAAAAAACTGAGGCAAATACACCCAATTGTTCCCTGCAGTTTGCTGAAAAGAGAACAATAGTCAACATTACGCCAAAAATCCACCCCCACACCACCTCCAATCATGGTAGAAGGAGAACAACACTTCGAGATAAAGGAAATCCTAGACTCTAGGAGATATCATGGGACAACTCAATACCTAGTAGCATGGAAACACCTCCCCTCCTCACAAAACGAGTGGGTCCATAAATGTCACGTCAGAGTACTGAAACTGTTGAAGAAATTTCATACAGAGTATCCTAACAAGCCAGACTAACTTTTATACCCGTTTTGTTTTCTCTACAGGTGGATCTCTCTTATTTTTAAGGGGGGCAGGATGTCAGAATCCAGTTATATTTCCTTTCTATCTTCTCTGATCTAAAACCAATTCTTACCCTTCCCTGGATCCTGCCATACTCCCAAGGGGAGGGAGGATATGCATGCGGGTTTTATTATTCTCACTTCCTCTATTCACTACAAAGTAATCTTGTTTATTTGCCTTCGGGTCTACTAAACATTACAATGTAACCATTTGCCTCTTATCCTATGTCCCTCTGAACTTCTCCTCCTTACCAGCCAGCTAGGAAAAGGGGGCGGGTGAAAAGATACAGCCCTCCGAGATCTGGTTTATTTCTCCATCATCAAAATAAGGTGTGAGGAGCTGTTGAATGATCGTGCACAACGGAACTGGATTGATGTTATCTTTCCTGGATTTAACACCTAGAAATTTGCCGGTCTGAATTGCCTGGAAGAACTGCGGGGTGGGGGCTGCTTAGGGACACTTTAAAACATCGATTTGTAAGGAAATCCCTCAGATCCTGTCTATCATGCCTGTTATCAATTTCTCTTAATAAAAGTTCCTGTTGGAAGAGATCGTTTCCAAGAGTTCTGCTTTCTTAAGATGTGGATTGAAGTGGTTTCTTACAGGCACTTTGTTGTGTTTTTTTATTCATACACAGCCTGCTCTCTATATTTTATCCTATAGGGGATTTTAAATATTTCCCAAAATGTTTTAAAATAACCCATTGGATAATGCTTATATCACATAGATTATGATCCCTCCTACCCTTGTTGCCCAGATAAAGAAAAAAAAGGAAGCAAGGAGCTAGTTCTGAGTTCTCTATGGTATGAACATTTCATGTAGCCAATTCTCATTATTAATGGTAGTTTCATTCTGTGAAAATGCCTTGAATACTGAATTAGTGAATGCTGAAACCTCAGCTGGGAAAGTTGGACGATTGTAATGTTTTACCGCTCTGCATGTCCTCAAATATCAGTGCCATGAGTACTAATTTGGGGGTGACAAAAACATTTTTCTAAATAAGCAACTGTGTAAATACAAAACCCACGAATAATGAGGATTACTTGCATTTCTTTAGTAAAAGGTGACACATTTATATGATCTGAAGAGAAACCAGAGAATTAATATTTTGTGTGTGTCTGGGTGTGTTTGCATGTGATATTAAATTTTGTTCCATCACATAAATTGAACAAAATGCTTTGAGTAAGGCTTTCTTTCTGAGCTTGGACAAAATAATGTTTCCATTTCATGTTCTATTTAGAATACACATATTTAAATATTTAACAAATGATGTATATTCTGAAGATTATTAATGTTCTGTTAACATTCCTTTTGGATATGTTTCAGAATGTGGTTGCTTTGGTTTATTTTTAATTTGTCCACCACTAGTAGTAAATACACTTTGAAAAAAATAATTAGAATTTATTAGCATTCCCTAGATAGTATTGCACAATTATGATGGGAAAAGATTTCCAAGACAGTTATCTAATACTTAAAAGCTTTTTCCAGTTATTATAACATAAGTCAGTGGAAGAAAGTGTGATTCAATTTTTGTAAAGCGAAAAACAAATATAGGTAGTCTTCGACTTACAACAGTTAATTCAAAGTTACAACAGTCCTGAAAAAAGTGACTTATGACCGTTTTTCACACTTATGACTGTTGCAGCACTATAGTCATGTGTTTAAAATTCAGATGGTTTATGGTTGCAGTATCCCGGGGTCATATGATTGCCTTTTGTGACCTTCTTACAAGCAAAGTCAATGGGGAAGCCAGATTCATTTAACAACCGTTACTAACTTAACAACTACAGTGATTCACTTAACTGTGGCATGAAGTCATAAAATGGGCAAAAACAGTCATGCATATTTTCTGTGTCTGTTATGCAGTCTTGATTATATACTTTAATATGATTATCAGCAGAATTCTTTTCCTTTCTGGCATTATAAGGAAAAGGTACAATTAAGAAACAATTTCTCCAGCACCATGTGTATGATGCAAAAAACTGCTAATAATCATGGGATTTGCTAAGATGCAGAAAGTTACCTTAATTCATAGTTATTAAATTGTAGAGAAAAATTCAACATGTAGTTATGTCATCTGTTGAAGAGCAATTCAATGACACAAAAAAGAAAACACGGGCATAATACAAACTACATTTGTGAGAATAGTAATAAAGTGATTGGCAACCCCTGAGATATTGGAACACTGCTATGGTGTCACCCTAGTCCTTTTCATTAAACTAGACATACCCAATTCCAACAACCGTTCTTTATGTTTTAGCCTCCAGTTCTCTGATCATCTTTGTTGATCTTCTATGTACTTTCTGAAGTCTCAACATCTTTTTTACATCGTGGTGACCAAAACTGGATGCAGTATATCAAGTGTGGCCTTACCAAGGCATATATAAAGTGGTATTAACACTTCACGTGATCTTGATTCTATCCCTATTAATGCAGCCTAGCATTGTGTTGGCTTTTTTGGCAGCTGCAGCACACTGCTGGCTCATATTTAAGTGATTGTCTGCTAGGACACCCTCTCACAGTTACTAGTATTAAGCAAGATATCACCTATACTATACCTGTGCATTTGAGGTTTTTTTTTTTTTTGCTTAAATGTAGAACCTTACTTTTTCCACCATTGAATTTCATTTTGTTAGATAGTGTCCAATGTTCAGATCTGTCACGATCTTTCTGTGTCTTAAGCCTATCTTCTAGAGTGTGGGCTATTCCTGCCAGCTGGTATCATCTGCACATTTGATGAGTTCCCCATTTATCCCCTCATCCAAATCATTGATGAAGATGTTGAAGAGCACTGGGTCCAAAACAGAGCCCTGGTGCACCCTACTGCACACTTCTCTCCATGTAGATGCAGTTCCACTGAGGACTACATGCTGAGTACGGCTGGTCAGCCAGCTATGAATCCATCTGGTGGTGATGCTGTCTAACCCACATTTTTCTATCTTATCAACTAGTAGATTGTGGTCTACTTTATCAAATACCTTAGTAAAGTCCAAGTAAATTATATCCACAGCATTCCCGGTTCACTAATTTTGTCACGGGTCAAAGAATGCAGTAACATTTGTCTGACATGATCTGTTTTTGACAAACCCATGTTGGCTTTTGATTATGACTTTGTTTGCCTCTAGGTGTTTGTTGATTCGTTGCTTAATTATGTTTTCTTTTCCAGAATCTTCCCAGGTATTGAGGTCAGGCTGATAGGTCTGCGGTTTCCTGGATTTATTTATTTTTTCCTTTTTTGAAGATGGGAACTACATCAGCTCTTTTCCAGTCCTCTGGTAGTTCACCGGTGCTCCAGAATCTGTTGGATGTAAGTTGTGATTTATGACTTAGCACACAGTTGGAAACGTTTCCAAAATTTCATTTGAACAGTGCCAGATTTATCCAATGTTAGGACAATAAATTTACACAAGAGTTATGTATTTTTCCTTAACCCTGTTATGCCTATTTTAGAACATACATTATAGTTTTCCTACACATAGCTCACCAAATAGATAGTAAAACATTATACCATTATTTTTGATAATTGTGGCATTATTACTTTGTGTACAATTCAAGGTGACACTTGTGGCCACAAAAACCTTTCTGAGAATTATAATGAAGAGCTTGGGAGTCATAGGTGGCTCTGAGATAATAGGTTGCCTGCCTTTTTAGCATGATGTATGAATCCAGATTATACAACAAATTAATATTTGTAATATTTTCAACTATGTATTTCACATTCAGCTAAACACAGACAACTACAAAAATGTGTAACATAAAAGATGTTGAAAACAGACCTACTGTGTTTTCCTGAAAATAAGACCCACCCCGAAAATAAACCCTAACCCGATTTTTTTTTGGGTGGGCTTAATATAAGCCCGACCCCAAAAATAAGCCCGGGGTGGGTATGGCCAGCATAAGCGGCAGTGAGCACAAGGGAGGGTGATGGTGTCTGCCAGCACCCGTAGCCCACTGGCACCTTGAAGCAGGACAGGTAAGTCCAGAGCAGAAGCAAAGGCGGGGGGGAGGGGGAGGCAGGCAATCAGACACGCTGCGCACTTTTCGCCCAGAGGGATACTGGAACCTTCGTCTGCTTGCAAATGGGGTGGTTGGAAATGGAGCGAATCCCTCGGTTTCCAACCGCCCCATCTCCTCCTCCACCTGCCTTGCCTCATGGTGGTGGTACGGTACAGTGGGCTACACAGCCTCCTGCCATGAGCGGCCACAGAAGTGGGTCACTGCCCATGTGGGCTCCTGCTGGATGGGGCTGTTGGTGCCGCCACTGCAAGGCGAGGCAGCTGTCGGGAGAAAAATGAAGATATCCCCCCCAAAGTAAGACCTACTGCCTCTTTTGGAGGCAAAAAAATATAACACTGGGTCTTATTTTCGGGAAAATACAGTAAAGCACTCCATTTAGATTGTCAAAGAATCTTGCACATAAATTCAATGATAATTTTATCACTGGTGGCAAAATCTTGTATTAAAGTCCACTCAAAGTGATTTTAATATACAGTTCTGCATGACTAGTTCTGGTGATTTCTAACAACAACAACAACAACAACAAAAAAAACCCCAGAGAAAGTGTTCTTTACAGAATTTTTCTGAAAATAAAAATGATGGAAGAAGTAATGAGAAAATTCAGGAGAGCTACTAGTTGGTTTTTTTTTCAAACTTTATGAAAAAAGAGCATTTATTTTTGAATGAGTGCATAATCTAGAAACCTCTTAGGTTTCAAATACATTTATGGCAAAATATTTTAATTCTGAATTAAGCTGAAGTGTAAATAATGAAACAATAGTGTAAAGAAAAAAGAAAAAAAACTATGATCTTTTTTAAAATATTAAATTTAAAAGATTAAAAAAAACGGTGTTCAAACAAATGGTGGTAGACCAAACAGTTCTGGCTTGAAATCACTCATGGACCTCAGTACTAGGGTTGCTTCTTTTGTAAGGTCTTTGTTCAAGTTTTCATCTGGAATCATGATCACTTGCATACCAGCCTTCAGTGATGCCTTCACTCCATTGGGAGCATCTTCAAATACAAGACACTGAAGATTAAGAAACAAAAGAATCAAATTAAACAGAAGCAAAATATTTATTCTGTTATGATTAATGATATGTAATGATTAATAAATGGTCATGATTTCCTTTAAACTCAATGCATTGTTAAGACATTTGGGGAATAATTTTATGGAATAACTTCTTTTTAAATATATACTTGACTTTTATTTTTCTGAATTCACACTGCTTGTGAACATGCTGGATTTTAAAGCCTAACTCTGTGATGCTTTAGTAAGGTATCGAGAGTAATGGTGTGGACTTCCGGTTCCGGATCGTGGCGTTTTCAGCTGTGCGAAGAGACTGCTCTCTTCGCCAGCTGATTCTCCGCTGCCGGTAGACCCTTAATCGGGTCGAAAAGCCACCCTGGAGGGGTGGCTACCACTGAGGAGGTCCTCGTTGACCATGGGAGAGCGGCAGCTTCTTCCATGGCCCAAGATTACTCCTTTGGGCCGACGGTGGAAAGATTGGCCAGTACAATGGCCGATCATCTTGCCGCTGTAACCAGAAGTCAGAAGAACAGCTAAGCGTAGCAACCACCGTGGCTGAGCCGGGTGAGACTTTTCTTTTTTTCCCCTCTCTTGGTTCCGGTTCCCTTTTCTTTTTTGTTGCCTATAAAAAGCACTTTTGAAATTATTTCCCTGCTCTAAGAAAGCGGCATTTGTGAGTGTGGGAAAAGAAGCTTAAATGGACAGAATTACCCTAACCTGATTTTTTTTTAATTTTTTTTTTTTTAAATTCACTTTGGGGTCTTGGAAAAAACTTTTTAATATTGAATCTACTACTGGATTTAGTTTATATGTGAAGAATTTTCTCTCTTTTGCTTTTCTGATCTTCTTAACATTATTTCTGGTGTCTGGAAGAAGATTTTATATTTCACTGAGGACATCTTGTGGAGAAAGTTAAAATTGCAACTGTTTTTTTTCCTGATGGTGAGATTGACTTTGTGTCAACGCTGCAAATACTGTATATTCTTGCTTTGACAATATGCAGAACTGTCTGGTATTTATATAGTTAAACCAGCAACTGGGAAAGAGGGAGGAGCATAAGGATAGCCCGGGAGAAAGAAACCGGAAGTAAATCACATCTTCCAAGTTGATTGGAAGATGTGAACCATGACCCCAAAATAAGGGAGTGGGAAATGCTTAGGATGTATATGCGTAACGGAAGAGAAGCCAGACCTAAGCATTTCCACCATGCTGTACTGACGTCTCTGTAACCTTAATAAATGCTTTTAGGAAAAATATGCCTGAAAGTCCTTTTAAGTGTTTCGTTAATCAGACACATGACATCATGCTTAGGTCCGCCCTCATTTTAAAACGATCTGGGGTCCCGAACCCCATCCACGGCCTCTAAGCTAAGAGCTGCTGGTAAAGATTCGGGGAAGATCTGACATGAAGAAAAAATTTTTGTCTGAAGCCAGCCTCCTGGATGCAACAGTTTCCCCGGGGGGGGGGGAAGCGACAGCCAGCAAACCGGGGGGAGAGAGGAATTTGGCAGATTTCCCACCTGTTAGCGAGGCCAAAACTATTGGAAGAGCTGACAGGGTCGTCAGACTGCGATAAGCCAAGGGAAGGCTTTGGAGGAAGCCACACAGCCTCGCCAGCAGAAATGGTGAGTCACAGTCCTGAAGACGGAGGGAATCCCAAATTGAGGCCTTTCCAGCAATGGGCAGTGTGGCATAATCAGCAGCAACTGAGCTTACCACAGCTAATAGAGGCCTTACGGCAGCTTGAACTGATGCAACAGCCAGAACTACAGCCGGTCAGCTTGCAGATGTGGGAGGCCCAGCATGTCCAGCAATCATTGAGGGACCTACAACAGCAGAGGGCATCACAACCCCCTGCAGTCCAACAGCAGAATACACCACTACAAACCCCACTTGCACAGTCACCATTGGGAGGCCTGCAGCAGCAGGGGGCACTACCAGCCTCCACTGCCCAGCAGTAGAGAGCCCACCAACCATGGGATTGGCAGGCAGGAAGGGGCCAAATGCAACTGGGAGCACCACATCAACAGCAGGGAGCCCAGCAGCCATGGGACCAACAACCGGGGTGGGGCCAGCAGCAACAGCCCCAGTGGGGACCGCAACAGCCTGTTTTTGCACCACCCTTCAATGCAACCTTCGATGGAGACCCAGAGAAGCTGATTTTTTTTCTCAATCAAGGGCGCTCTCACTTGAACCGCTGGGCCTACCACTATCCGGACCCAGGTGCCATGATCGACGTATTTGCATCCAACCTAGAGGGAGAAGCAGCTGAATGGCTGAATAATTTATATAGTGAGCAAGCCCCAAAATTGGAAGATCCCCACCTTTTCCTCTTAGGTCTGAAAGAACGATTTGAGGACCCATCCATAGGCCTCAAAGCAGCAAGACAAATTCACAAAATAAAACAAGCTGGGAGGCCTGCCCTAGAGTACGTGCAAGAGTTCCGCAAGTTAGCAGGCCGAACAGAGGGGTGGTCCAAACAATCCCTGGTTCAATACTTTGTTGAGGGATTGGACGATCACCTCTCTCAGGCTTGCATCTATCGAGAAGTACCCGATCGGCTACAGGAGTGGTACCAGACAGCAGTGAAGCTAGACATTAAGCTCTCTCGCTATAAGAAGCCTCCCCCATACGAACCCGAGCAGCAACCAGAGCTACCCGGACAGCAATCACCCCCACGAAAGCCCTCAACTACGGCAATGGCTGAAAGACCCAGGCCACCAACACGCCCTTCCTTTAAGTGTTTCTGGTGTGGACAAGAAGGACATCGAGCGGCCACCTGTCAAACCCCCTACCCCCGACGGCAGAGCAGACCAGAACCAGCAATGCGAAAGAAACATGCTCAGTGGCTAACGAGAGAAAAATCCAACCGGCTCACGCAGGAACCTGTCGCCCAGATTACATCCCCCACACAGGAGGACGCTGGGACTCCGGTTGGACCCACCCCTGCTCTACCCTCCTTTGACAGCGACGATGAAGGAGAGAACGACCCGATGGTGAGTCAACAAATCCCGCCTTTTTCACTGGCCGCCAAGCTTATAATCCCTAAATCTGGGGCACAAATGGACTTAAATGTGCTAATTGATACTGGATGCAC